ANGTATGTGTTTGTGTGTGTGTGTGTGTGTGTGTGCGTGTTGTGTGTGTGTGCGCGTTTGTGTGTGTGTGTTTCTTCGAGTGTTTGACAATGACGATGACGTAGGCGTATGTGTGCGTGCGTGTGCTTATGTGTGTGTGCGTGCGTGTGCTTATGTGTGTGTGTGTGTGTGTTTGAGTGAGTGTAATGATGAAAAATTAATGGTGACGTTGATGGTGATGACGGGCTATATTAGTCATCCATAATCGTTATATTTAATAACAAGGCACCCAGCCATATTTGCCACATTTTTATCTCGAAACAACTTTCCTTTCGTTGCATTATCATTATAAACGCAGTTATAATTAAACAGTCATAGTATGATAAAGATGACGACGATGATGATTTTTGTTTTATTTGAAGTAGAGTGTTTTAATGGGTTTACAGGGATGAGTGTTTAATTCTAATCACTGGACAAGGAAGATAATTATAGTATCTAACCTCTGAAAGCATTTTTTTTATGAGTGGTGTGAGGACGATGCTAGCAAATTTTTTCTCATTTTATTTGATTAAATCTTTTATTTTATTATTCTAAAATATTATTGATATTTATAAAAATTATTAATTAATTTAATTTAATTTAAAACACTATCTAACAAAATATCAAAAAACTACACACGCATGATTTATAACGTAAGATTTGATGACGGAACTCAAACACAAAATTGGCAAAAATAAGGTTCCGAAGTGTTTATATTGAACAATTTAACGCAACAGCTATTGCAAATGTTAAATATAGAATATATATGAGTGTATATATATTTTATGTATGTATATATGCGTGTGCGTGTGTTTGTTTGTTTGTGTGTGTGTGTGTGTGTGGTGTGTGTGTGTGTTTGTAACATTGTGTAACATACATATAACGTGATGTGAGCAACAATTCACCATTCAGTTTGAACTTCGATTTTTTTTTTGCGTTTTTTAAAAAGTAGATAGACAGTATGTGAATGTTTTTATTTCATGGTTTTTATTGGATAATACAAAAAAATACAGCAAAACAACAAAAAAATACCAAAAAATACAGAAAATTAGAAAAATTTATTCGGAGAAAAGTGTTGTTAAAATTTGATGGATGATAGAGCAAATTTTGAAAGTAAAATGATATTTTTATAAAATTTTGTTTTTTTTTTCACTCGTCAATTAAAATTGTTTTTATATAGCAAATATTTTGAAACAAAGTTTAAATACAAACGAAAAACAAAAATTAAACAAAAAAAACAAGCATGGAAAACAAAAAATTTAAAAAAATTTTGGAATAAATTCTTCCAGACATCTAGTATCTACACGTAAAATACCCCCCCGGATAAAAATAACACACATCATAAAATAACATCACCGTATAACTACACAGACAGTCCATATTATAAACCTTAATAAAACGTTTCAAACACTCTTACAGCTATAACAAAAGTTGTAAACTGTACTTGTACAAATTCAAGTAACAAGCTGAACAAACTGTACTAATAAAAAATTAAATACAACGAGAAAATGATTTACACTGACTGAGAGGAAGGGTTATGAGATCCGGGCTGACATTCTGGTATATCTTTTTGCAATATAGCGTGACAGTGTATCGAGACAGAGATAGGAATTGCTACGCATGGTGAAACTATTGTATAACGCTAATAACAGACGAATAACTGAATAAAAAAGGCAATCAGCAACAGCAGAAAATGGTGCTGAAAATAAATTAATAAAAGAAAATAAAAATGAATATCTCTTTTCTGCAGGCTTGTAGCACCGCAGACTCAATGCCAAAAGTCAATTACGGACAAAAAAAAAACCAAACCTATAAAATATTTCAGAAGCCAAAAAAATGTTCAAGCGGTAAAACTAACTGCATGGACTAATGCCATTAAATAAAGAGGAGTAGAAAGAAAAAGATGGTACAGTACAAACAAACAAACAAACGAACGAACAAACATACACAAGAAGGAGATGAATAACTTAGTAATTCAGCAGAAATGATCATGGACATTCAATAACACCAGTGGCATTAATCAAATGCAAGTACACATGTCTGCCCGCCGAAGCTATAACGTCTTTTCAAGCAACAAAATACGCCATCATCAATAAACACACACACACATCCTGCAAACACATCCTATACAAATGTACACACGCACGCGCACACACACACATTATGTATAAAAATATATAAGATAGATTTGTGAAAAATTAGCGATTGATTAAGAACACACTTACTAGCGTAGCACGTGCTAACAATGTCAGATTTGCACTCGTTACAGTTTTCAAAATAAAAATCATCTTCTTGCAATCAAACCCCGTGACTGCAACAGCAAAACTAGGCACTTTAACCATTCCACCACCCGACATAAATTTAAACAATTTGAATCTATATAATGGCACTTTTATGCAACATGTACTTATATGAAGACAGTAAGGAGATTTTGGACAACCGCCGAAACAACGCAGTGACTAACAATCCGACGCAAATAGGAAGCCACACAAAAAATAATTTTATTAAAAAATATTCTCAAATAAGAATAAAAATAACAATAAAAGGAAATAAATTAGGAAAAATATTTTGACGCGCCTGATTTCTCATTAGAGCATTTATTAAAGATGGAGAGGAATGTTCTATGGAGTTCCTATTTTTAGTGTGGAATCCGTATAAATGTTTGTATGTTGCTGGGCGTTTCAAGATATTGTATGAATTGTCGAATTTGTGTACGTGGTTGACTTATTGTATATGTGCATGTATGTGTGTATATGCGTTTGTATCGTATATGTACAGGTACATGTGTATGTATGTGTGTATATGC